CGGGCCGCCGTCCTGCCCCGGCCCCTCGCCGCCCGCGCAGCGCTTCTGGACCGGGCTGGGGCCGGCCGCCTCGTAGCGAAATCGGAAGCGAGGTTCGAGGCGGGTGGTTCCTGCGGCCGCTGCGAGGGTGTTTGGTTAGAGCACCCCGGGAACGTGTGTGCGGTAAAAGCGGCGCAGTCCTGACAGCCAGCTTCCCCTGTAGAGCCTAGGTGCTCAGCTAAGTTGTTTCCAAGAAAGAGCTTGAGGAGGGTCTGCAGGGCGGGTTTCATCAGTTAAACCGCGGCAAAGGGGGTAGACGAAGTGACTTTTGAAATGGGATAAGTTACAAAGATCAGCCTTTTGGTTTGGGTTTTGGGTTGTCCAGGCTGGCCTGGAACTCAAGAGATCCTCCTACCTCCGCCTCCTGAGTGCCGCTGGAATTACAGGGAGGTGTGGTGACACCTTAGAGATCAACTTTTTGTTGTGTCTTCTTTTTTTTAAGAGGGCTTGCTATGTAGTTTAGGCTGGCCTTGAAAGTCACTGTAAAGCCCAGGCTGGCCTTGAGCTCGTGGCGATCCTCCTGCCTCGGCCTCCCAAGTGCTGGGATAACAGGTGTGTGACACCAGTGGAGTTTTAAGCGCGCTACTACAGACTGGCGTATATGTATCTGTTCTCCCTTGCCTGCATACCTACCCTTTCTCCTCCTTTTTTAACTCTACTTTGTCTCACAGATACTTTGTTGCAAACAAAGTGGCTATGAGAAAATAGTAATCTGTTCGGTAGGGCGCTCAAAACCATATTTTTCTGAGGTTTGGCAAAGGAAATTGGTAGAGACGCTGGGAGACAATCATAGTTATTTTCAAATACGTAAAGAGCTGTTATCTATACCTGGAATTAGACTTTTGTCCTTGAGGGATACAAATGATTGAAAGATGGATTTCAGTATAAGGAAGAGCTTTTCCAGTTAGCGGGCTCCAGGAGTAAACATGAAATTTCTTTCCACCTATAAATGCAGGCCTCGTTCTATTTTTAGATCTACTTCTTACATCTATTTTCTTCCACTGTGGCCCAAACCACTTTCATCTCTTGCCTGGGTTACTATAACACCCTTAAGACTTTGTGCATCCGTCCATACCCCTTTAAATCTACTTTTGGGGATTTTTAAAAGTGTTAGTCACACAACATTTGTTTGCTTAGAATCCTTTGGTGCTTCCATTGTAATGAGAATAAATTCCAAGTTCTTAAACCAGATACTACCTGAGCCCATTCCTGCTTTGTCATCTTAGTGCTGATCTTCACTCCCTACATCGCAGTCACAGGCCTTTTTGTTCAGTTTCTCTCCTTCCTGTTCCTTTTCTGAGCCTCTTAAGTTTTCTCTTTGTTTCTCATCTTTTATTCTTAACTCAAGTGTTGTCTTAGATGAGCGCTCTGTTAAAACAGTCCCCTCTAGCTGCCATCACAATTCTGTAAGGACCTTGTTTGCTTGCCTGATGGCTGTCTTTTCTCTCCCTGGTAGAATTCTGGACAGGAAACTTACTTTCACAAGTCTCAGAACATTGTTGAGCGCATGGCAGAAGTCAGAAGTATGTCTTGAATGGAAAGAAATCAGTCAACTAGTCAAATCAGTAAATCAGTGCCTAGATTTTAAGTAGAGGTTGAAAGGCTTTGATAGAAATATAGTAGAATTCGCCTCTTTAGAGAGGCAGGACTGATGATTTTTGAGGTTGTACTCTGAGAGTCTATGACGAATACATAGTACGTATTTATTATCATTTCTTAAGTTTATTGGTTCACATGTCAGCTTCTGCTCCAAACCCTTTGTTACTTTGCTTCCTGTTCTGTGTAACTCCTGTTGGCTTAGAATCTGTCCTAAGTGCTAACAGGCTGATGGCTTGGTTCTGGTGTCAGTTTATTCGTTTATTCACTAGATGCTCAGTAGGCACTGGAAAGAGTGAAGAAAGAGGTGAATAGGCGGTCAGCTTGTACTGTTAAGGTCTCCGAGAGGTTTGACGATGAAAGAAGTGGAGAGAGGAGGTGCTTGCTTACTTGGAGATGTAAAATTGAGTTAGATTTAGTATAGGCATGTAGGGGCGAAGAGTGCTGAAAAGCTTAAAAATAATAGTCTTCTACCCCTCTTTCTCCTCCCTACCTCCCAGAAGCAACCATTTTCAACATGTAAAGTTGTGCCTTGTGGAACATACCTCCGTACTGAGAAATAATATCCAAATATTGCTATAAATTGGCTCAATAATTTTAGACAGTATCTACTGAGTTCTTATTATGGCATAAGAGACTTGTAGCATCCTTAGCCCTTTCCCATTCCTTCTTCCATCCAAAGGAGGGTTCTGTGTTTTATTTTTGTTTTTGTCATTCTTTTTTCTTTCTGGGTTTTTTTGTTTGTTTTTGGATTTTTGAGACAGGGTCTTTTCTCTCCCTGTGTAGTTCAGGCTGGCCTTGAACTCACTGTGTAGCCCAGGCTGGCCTCAAGCTTGTGATCCTTCGGCCTCAGCCATCCAAGTGTTGGGACTACAGGTGTATGCACCAGGCTCCACTTCTGTTGTCTTTGAGATGTGAAATATTGGTGTAGAGTAGAGTAGAGTATTTCATTTAGTTCTGTTCAGTGGCCAGAGACTGACTTTCTAGGATAACCATGTAACAAATTAGTTACAAGTAGAAGTAAGCTGGAGAGTATAAAAATCTACCTGAGGCACGAGGATTACAAGTTCAAGGCCAGCCCGAGTAATTTAGCAAGACACTGTGTCAAAATAAAATAAAAAGGGCTTGGGATGGAGCCCACTGGTAGTGCACTTGCCTAGCATGCACAAGGGCCTGGATTCAGTCCCCAGTACTGCCCAAAAAAATCTATTACCTTTTTTGCTAAAAGCCATTCAGGTATACCACTGATTGATGATGGGTAATCAGTGACACTTTTAATATTAAATGATCTGTTATTCTATCATCTCTTTTACATTACCAGCCCCCACCCCCCATTTATTTATTAATTTATCTCTTCTCCATGATTTCTATTCAGCCTCTCTGCTCTGGGCATGTTATACCAACATAGAGTACCCAGTTCTTTTTGCTTTTATATTTTTGGGATAGTAGTGTGCTCTAGCTTTTCTTGCTAGATTTTATATTTTTTCCTGTATGGCTTCCTAAAGACTGTTGGAATAGTTGGCAAATCTAAACTTACCAGTTAGAAATAACAACTTGCCTCGACCCTTTTTTTTTTTTTTTTTTTTTTTTTTTTGAGACAAGGTGTTGCTATTTTAGTTCAGGCTCGGCTTGAACTCATCACAGGGTAGCTCATGCTGCCCTTCAACTTGGGATGAGCCTCCTGTCTCAGCCTCCCAAGTGCTGGGACTAGAGGTATGTCCCACCACGCCTAGCTGAGCCTTGACACATTTTTTAATCAGCCACTGTTTCACCTGGTGTTCCAGAATTACTTTATTTTTCCCAGAATGATTGTAAGACCTACATGGAAGACATTAAGAAGTTTTTGTCTTTATGGTATAAGGACAAAATTTCTCGTATCTTTTTCGAGACATATGACATACAACTGCATTCTTTTGGGGCCAGTAGTTATTTCCTTTACTCTCCTGTGTGCTGACTCATTGAGATTAAGTTGTATGGGGAATATATGCTTGGGTTATGGGATTCAGAATGAGTAAGACTGCTCATCATTTACTGATGTCTTCTTGGTTGCTTGTGGTTATGAGGTGGTACTTTAATATAGGCACCTTGAAATAATCAAAATACAGTGCTCTGTTTGATGACTAAATTACGCTTTTCCCCCTTAAGTAATTGTATAACTATTGGTTTGTGTAATTATATTCTGAAATTGTACAGGACCAGTGATTGTCAGACTTGTGTATGGGAACACAAGAATCGCAGAAAAAAAAAAAAGAGAGGAAAAAAGTCGCAGGAAAGCCTTATTACTGGACCCCAAGCCCACACTTTTCTGATTCAACAGGTTGAAGGAAGGACCAAGAGTTTGCACTTGCTTCCTGGTACAGCTAATGCTGTTTGTCTGAGATATGGTGTCGTGAGGGATTGATAGTTAATTCTTCTTCAGGTATAAACATCAGCAGCTTTAAAGAAAAATAATCATTCCCCTAGTGAAGTCGCCCCTCAAAAAGTGCCTTTTTTCTGTTGTCATATGGTTTTAACCAAGCATTAATTTCTGAGTGAGCATGTTTCATAATTGTGATACACCTTTTGTCTTACAGCTGGAATTATTTCTCTTCTAGATGAAGAAGAACCACAGCTTAAGGTATGAATCGAAGAAAAAAGTCACTGAGCTTACTATGAATTGTGATGCCTTTTGAATTTTGTATCTATATCAGTATGATTTGGAACTTTTTTTTTGGTACTGGGAATCAAACTCAGGACCTTGTATTTCCAAGATAGGTGCTGTGCCACTGAGCTACGTCCCTGGCATATCACTATGATTTAAAGTAATCATCCCCTATACACTGTTGCCAGTCACTGAAATACAGCCAGAGAGGCCAGTCTTTTGGCAGTAGCAGTTGATTCTCCTTGAGTTCAACAAAGCTAAAGCAAATAAACTTTAGACTTTTACCCTCTATTTCTTTATCAACAGACAGCACAAAAAAACTTTTTTCTGTATACATATTTAAGGTTACTTTTATTTGATAGAAATTTGGAATGTGTCTTTTTTTTTTTTTTTTTTTTTAGTGTGTTTTAAGTATGTAGCTCTAGATATCTGCATTTATTTCCAACTAAACTAGCAACCTGGAGTTAGTCCTATGTATTCTGAGAAGGAACACCTTCCTTATGATAAAAAAAAATGACATTATATAGTTCGTCTAGTGTTTTGTGTATTGTGTTTGTTTGGAACTGAAAATCAAACTCAGGACCTCACACTTGCTGGACTGGCGCCATACTGCTGAGCTATGTCCCTGGTCCCCGTGTTTTTGTTTTTTTGAGACAGAGTCTTGCTATGTAGCCCAGGCTAGCCTTGAACTCACACAGTCCTCCTTCCTCGGACTCCCGCTTCCTGGGAAGTCTAGTGTATCATGATTGAAAACAGGAAGAAAATATGTAAATTCGGGAAAAAGTTTAAGTTAGTTGATATTTTCCATAGATTAAAATTTTAAATAACTATTACTGAGGATTTGACCATTGATTTGTTGGAAATTTTAAAATAAAAGGCATTGGTTAATCTGTCTCAAAACAGAATTTTGGTTTTATTTTTACAGGAATTTGCACTACACAAATTGAATGCAGTTGTCAACGATTTCTGGGCAGAAATTTCTGAGTCTGTAGACAAAATGTAAGAAATTACATTATTCCATAAATTTGAAAAACACAGATCAGTTTTAATGGTGTGTGGATGTGATTCTTATGGCTTACTAACTGATTTAGAGTTATATTGCTAAATTGTAGCTTGCATATTTAGAATTGGGATTTTTAAGGAAAACCTTAGCTTGAATGAGGCCTGTCCTTCCTAATTTCTTTCAGAGAAGTTTTGTATGAAGATGAAGGTTTCCGGAGTCGGCAGTTTGCGGCCTTAGTGGCATCTAAGGTGTTTTATCACCTGGGAGCTTTTGAGGAGTCTCTGAATTATGCTCTTGGAGCAGGTGATCTCTTCAACGTCAATGATAACTCCGAGTATGTGGAGACTATTATAGGTAATTACCCTTGGCCTGCTAAAGCTTCATCTTATTGGCTTCCTGATTCCTCTAGTACACAGGTGCCCAACCTCTTCACTTGCCTGGGCTACATCAAGTGAAGAGGAACACAGTTAAAATATATAATGTATGTAAGTAACAAGACTCCCTTTTCAATTTTTTTTATTATAACCTTACCAAAAGATAGTAGCATAAACATAGAGCTAGTGGGGTAGTTGCCCTTGTTTTTGTAAAACTAACAGATGAGTGTCTGGTTTAAAGGAAACTGGGCCCATTTCAGGTCATTTGGCCATTATTCTACAAAGATGGTTTAAAGATAGCCTCTACTCAGGACCCTAATAGTTTGATTAATGTGGAGGAGTCTAACATACTTCTGTGTCATATCATCAATAATGGCCAAAAAAGTTCTTTTAAAACTGAAACAGCTACTGTTTTACCCAACTCTTTTGAGTAAGCAGCTAAATCAAAAGGAGCAACACAGTTCTGATCAAAATAAGGCAGCAATATAGAAATGTTTTGAGTAGTGTGAATCTTCAGTCTTACACTCTCCCAACTGAGCAATCTTGGGTACCTGACAGTAGTGTGAATCTTCCTGGAATTGGTGTGTAGGCCTTTAATGTAATCATTATAAAGAGAACAGTTTTAATTAAAAGTGTAAGTTGTGATTTTAAAATTTGCTTTTTTATAGTTGTCAGTATATATGCTTATAAAAGTGGACAGTGTATATGTCAGTTAAGCTCAGTTGTCAGCTGACTGGCTTGAGCCTGCCTAGGGGACTCGTAAAGCACACTTCCAGTGTGTCTGGGTGGGCTGTGAGGTGTGACTTTGAGTGCTAGATCTGATCCCTGGCCCCTTCCTCTGGCACTGTTCCCCTGCTCTGCTTCTTGCCGCTGCAAGGTGAGCAGCTTTCCTCCAAGTCCTGCTCTGTTTCTGCCTCAGAACCAACAAGGAACTAAAACCACAGGCCAGATAAATCTGCCCTCTGTATCATGGATGTCAGGTGTTTTGTCCCAGCAATGCGAAAGTTGACCAATACCATGTCTTTTCTGGTAGTTTGGCCCAATTTAGAAAATAATTAGATTCACTTTATTTTTTCCATAGCAAAATGCATTGATCACTATACCAAGCAGTGTGTGGAAAATGCAGATTTGCCCGAAGGAGAAAAAAAACCAATTGACCAGAGATTGGAAGGCATTGTGAATAAAATGTTCCAACGATGTCTAGATGATCGCAAGTATAAGCAGGCTATTGGCATTGCTTTGGAGACACGAAGACTAGATGTCTTTGAGAAGACCATACTAGAATCGGTAGGTAGATGATGTCATTTTAGAGGTTGTTCATTGTAGGGAAATGAGCAAAGCAAATTATTCAAACTGCTAATGTCCTGGGTAAAGAACAGAAAATATTCTTTAGGAAATACATTTTTTATATTTTGTGTTCATAAGAGTGTCTGCTTTTATCCTGCCACATTTCTTTATTCCTTTGAAGTTTTGCATGGGGCAGTGGTATTATCTTGTCGTTTTAAAAAAGATCATATTGATAAATTACTATTTTAATGCATATTATGTTAGAACTATGAACTAGATTCCAGATTTGAGAGTGTCTTGAGATCATTAAGACAGCTATAAGTCACTCGCAGAAGAGGTCTGAAAGGTACAGGGCTGAGGTCAGAGGACCCAGATCTGCAGGACCACTGGGCCTCACTGCTCTCCCTGTCCACCAGCCAGCATCCTGTCCTCCTGTGTTGGCCGTATTTCATCTCTGATCTTACTTTGCCTCCCAGTGCAAATTTCCATGCACGTGGAACTGTGAAACAGTACCCCTACTATTTTGTGGTATAATGCTACTACTTTTAATTTGTGTTTAATTTTTAAAAATACATTAGTCAGGGCCGGGGATATAGCTCAGCAGCACAGTGCCTGCCTGGCAAGTTCGGGATCCCTGAGTTCGATTCCTGGTGCCCACGCCACCCCCCCAAAATGCATTAGTCTTACAACTGTTGAGTTATTTTCATCATACACTGGTGAATCAACAACTTGCTTTTCAAGAAACACTTTTATGGCTCTTCAGTGTTCTTCTATATGTTGAAGGACTGTTATAGAGTAGTATCTCAAAGTTTGGAATTGTTTATAAGAACCACAAGGTAAAAACATGTACAGGTCAAAGTTTCCTCGTAGGGAGAACACCAGGCAGCTGTAACAGCACTAAATGCCTGAGTCACTCTTTTAAGACTTGTGCTTCCTAGCCTCAAGTGAGTATGGGCACTAGGTCAGGAGCATGTCTAGTAGCAAAGCGGGAGGCAGAAAGTCTTCAACAGACTCAAATTGTAAAGCATAGCTACACAGCATAGGGACAGCTGGAAATATCTTTTCAAAATAATAATGTCATACTGTTATAGTACCCTGTGACCAGGGATCTTGTGGGGATCTTCAGTGATCACTAAATATTAAATTGTTTTCAACCCATTTTTGTTTCCATGAAGATATGGAAATGCATAGTTAAGATTTTTCTCTAGCTAGGCATGGTGGCGCATACCTGTAATCCCAGCAGAGGCAGAAGGTTCATAAATTTGAGCCCTGACAAACCCTGTCTAAAAAATTAAAACAGAAAACAAAATGGAGATGTAGCTTAGCACATCCTGGGTTCAGTCCCTAGTACCACCCAATCCCCACAGACTTCTCTCTAAAATAGCTTAAATTTTTAAACCAAAAGGTATAAGTTATTGGCTGCCTTGAAAAACCAAGAGGGTAGATTAAAATATTTCATGTTCTAAATAAATATAATGAGATCATATGTTTTTAAATTATCTCTTTCAGAATGATGTCCCAGGAATGCTAGCTTACAGCCTCAAGCTCTGCATGTCTTTAATGCAGAATAAACAGTTCCGGAATAAAGTATTAAGAGTTCTAGTTAAAATCTACATGAACTTGGAGAAACCTGATTTCATCAACGTTTGTCAGGTAATTATAGTGCGTTATGTCACATTTCTCCAGCCATGCTGTGGCATTTTACAACATAACTACATTATATTTTATTACATTACATTACTGTAGTGGGTTTGTATGTATATTTCAGTTGATTTTTACAACAGGCCTATGAAGGTAACATTTATGATTTGCATCCCTTTTTATTGATAAAAACGGAGTCTTACAACACTAAAGAACTTTGTTACAATGCATTCTTTATGTATTTTTTTACTTCAGAAATAATCCAAGCAATTAAGGAAGTCTTAAGGGAGCAAAGGAGGTTAGGAAAGAAGGTAAATCAGGTGCAGTTTTGCATACCTGTAATCCCAGCATTCTGGGAGGCTGAGGTTGGAGCATCACATTAAGCCCAGCCCTGGCAGCTTAGCAATTTAGCAAGACCCTGTCTCAAAATAACTAGAATGGAATAGTGTAGAATGATACAGCTCAGTTTTAGGAGTTTTGTTTAGAGGGAGATCTGCTCTTGTCTTGGTTACTTTTCTCTCGTTGCTAGGACAAAATACCTGACCCCCAAAATTAAGGAGGAAAGGTTTATTTTGCTTACAGTTTGTGGAGGTTTTAGTCCACACTTGGTAGGTTACAAGGCAGAGTGGCACATGGCAGAGGGCTATAGCTCATGGCTGCAGAACACAGCAAAAGCAACAACACAACAGGGAGGAATGGCCACAAGCAGCCTCTTCCTCTCCCTTGCATATGCAAACTATCCACCCCAGGGCAGGTGTAGCTTTGACACCCGTAATCAATCAAATTCTAAAAGCCTGCCCCATGACCGCATGAGACTTTGGGGAGACACATGGACACAAACCATAACAGCCCTGTTCAACTTGTATTTCAGTTTCATCTGTTGGAAGCGATTTTTTTGTTTGTGTTTGTTTTTTGGTACCGAAAATCAAGGTTATGACCTCCTGCTTGCCTGCAGGCCCTATACTGCTGAGGGCCATATCCCTGGCCCTCAATTTTGTATCTTTTAGCTATTTTATTCCTTGTCCTTTTACAATTTTTAAAACATTTGTTTGTTTTAAAGTATATTTTTAATAGGTAGTACATCTGCATGATTTAAAATCTAAAAAGGACCACAGAACTGGGTTTAGTGATGGACACCTCTAATGCTACTCTCAAACTTGTACCCCTGGTGGATTACAAGTTTGAGACCAGGCTGGGCAACTTAGGGAAGCTCTGTCTGAAAATAAAAAGGGCTGGGAATTTAGCTCATTGATCCCTGGGTTCAATCCCCAGTATATAATCCTACTCCAAATTTAAATTGAGTTCTTAACACAAAAAGCCTAATTTATTGGATAATTTTGCTAACGTATATGACACCTCATAAGAGTGGTAAGAGAGATGACAGTAAATTTGATCCCTTTTGTCCTGATGTTCCAGAGTATATATATTAAGTAGGTGAATGATTCCTACAAAATATAGTAATGCAGAATATACAAGTTAAAGAGCACTTGGATGTAAATTATGAATAAGATTGAAAGAAGCCAAGATTCATTCAGCAACTAGGAATATAATTTGTGTGGATTTTTTTTAATGGCAAACAGGTGCCATTTTTAGGAAAACTGCATCTGGAGTTGGACTTAGAAGTAGAGTGCTGGCTGGATATCTGCCCCAGTTTTCTTGTGCTTATGTCTTACAGTGTTCTGTGCTGATGGCTGCTGTGGTGCAGGTAACTTGCAGACGAAGCTTTCAGTTGTTGTGTGCTTGTTCTTTATCTCTGTTTCAGTGCTTAATATTCTTAGATGATCCTCAAGCTGTGAGTGACATCTTAGAAAAACTGGTGAAGGAAGACAACCTCCTCATGGCTTATCAGATCTGTTTTGATTTGTATGAAAGTGCCAGCCAGCAGTTTCTGTCCTCTGTGATCCAGAATCTTGGAACTGTGGGCACCCCCATTGCCTCTGTGCCTGGCTCCACCAACACGGGCACCGTTGCAGGTTCTGAGAAAGACAGGTATGACTTACCTTCTTCTACATCATAACTGAGCAATCTGCATTTTATTTTGGGAATAGTTATACTATTCATAAATAGCACATTCTAAAAATAAATAAATTTAGCCACTAGCAGGCTGTTCTGTTTTGCACTGTACTGACACAAAAAGGAGAACCAAGCCTGAGAAGAGGGCTTATCTCGTGGCGAAGCCTACCAGGTGGCATGAGCGATAGTTAATGAAATAAGAACTGTAGGTGGGGTGGGTAGGCTCACTTTAAGATACCTTTCTTAGACGTATCTGGGCTAGATAATTAGAAGGGAAGAAATATCTCAGCCTTTTGTGCTTGTGTGGGAACTAAATACCTAAATTTCTTAGAAAAATGCAGCATTAGATTTTGTTTTCCTGTTTCCTTATCATTTAGACCATTTATTCAGAATGTTTATGTCTTTCTTAAAGCTACTTACTTCTAAAGTTGGTCACATAGTGAGATTCATTCTTTTGGAACTTAAATGTTAGACCCCTATAAATCTGTAATACCTTCCAAATAAAATTCTGAGCCTTGATAGTAGCTTGTAAGGCTTTATAGTTGTCTTCTCTATCCAAAGGTTCTGCATCCACGAGCTGAACCAACTGAGGATTGAAACTATTGCAGGGGAGGTACATCTGTACCTAGTATATACAGATTCTTTCTAAATAAGTCTAGACAATGTACTACAACAGCTATTTGCATAACATTTACATTGTAATAGATATTGTAAGTCATCTCTTCATGATTTAAAGTACACAGGAAGAAAATGTGCTAAGCTTATGTGCAGTCACCATGTCATTTTATGTGTGACCTGAGCACTCACAGACAGGAGAGCTGTGCTTGTTCCTGGAGCTAGCAGCCCTGTAGGTGCCGAGAGCCCAGCACTCCTGCTCTGGTCTCTCTGTGCCCTCAGTTTGTCTCTTTCTCTCAACTTTCAGACCCCACTGGCCTTGTTGCTACTCCTCAGAATTACTGACAATATTCCTGGAAGCTGGAAGGTTTTCTTGAACTCACTTTTTATTATTTGTTTTGTTCCCTTGCTTTATTTTTATTCTTCGTTGGGGCCTTCTGTTACAGTGTGTTGGCCTCCTTTGCTCATCATCGGTGTTGTCACTTTTGAGTCCCTTTCTGCTCCAGTTCTTTTTCCTTTGGTTAACAGTTTAAATAAGTACACATAGCTTCAGTATTCAGTTCAGTGAGCATTGATAGTAAAACACACACATAACCAACACCTCTGTTAAGTTCTTGCCCCCAAGGAAACTGCTCTTTGATTGTGATTTCTGTCACTATAGGTTAGTTTTGCAGGTTCTTGGAAATCATAAAAATGGGCTTTTACAGCATGTATTATTTTGATTTTGCCTTTTGCACTCAGGGCAGTGTCCATGTATACAGTTATGCTTTGAGGTGAATTTGTAACTAAACGTTATCATTGCTGAGTAGCACTTTCTTGTGAGTGAGTATACCATAGCTCATTTATCCATTCTGCCATGGGACATTTGGGTTGTTTCTGGCTATTAAGAACAAGGCTGTTGTGAACAGTTGTGTACAAGGCTTTTTGTAGACATGTTTTTTTGTTCTTGGCTAAATACTTGGAAGTAGAATAGCTAAATATAGGGTATATGTTCAACTTGAAAAAAAATGCCATATTTTTCCAATGTGGTTATAGCATTTTACCATTCTGCCAGCAGTGTCTAAGTATTCCAGTTCTTCATCTTTACAACATTTGATGTTATCAGTCTATTGAGTGTTACTCCTTCCATTGATGTAAAGTGGTGATTTATTACAGTTTTTAATCACTTGTCAAATGTGTGTGTCATGAATATTTTCCTAATCATTGACTTGTAAACACAAGTCTTTATTTTTGATGAATCCAACATTCCAATTTGGGGTTCCACAAAGGAAATAAATTTTTTTTTTTTCTTTTTTGAGACAAGACTGACCTTGAGCTCACTTTGCAGTTCAGGCTGGCCTTGAGCTCACTTTGTAGCCCAGGCTGGTCTTGAACTTGCAACAATCCTCCTGCCTCAGCTTCCCAGGTGCTGGGATTACAGGCGTGTGCCACTACCCCTGGCAAGGAAATAATTTTGGCAGTTTCATGGCTGCAAATATATTTTCTGAGGCTTTTTTCGAGAAATTATGTAAGGTTTTCTATTTAGATCTATGACAGAGCTCAGTTTAGCTCTATACTGTATATGTAAGAGGTAGAAATACAGGTTCTGTTTGTTTTTCCATATGAATATCTAATTGTTTCATCACCATTTCTTGAAAAGGCTCCTTGTGCTGTTGAATTGCCTTGGAGTCTTTGACAAAAAACAGTTCACCATATATATGTGTGTGTTGTTAATATTTTTCCTGGTCTTTCCATCGATCTATTTGTTGCTTTTATAACTACTACTTGTTTTTAATTATGAAAGCTTATGGTAAATCTTAAAATCAGATAACATAAAACGTTCTCTTTTTACTTTCGCAGTGCTGGGGATCCTTGCATGTGTTAGGCCAGTGCTGGTGAACCTGTGGCATGTGTGCTGCAGCGGGCTGTTTCTACCATTGAAAGCTCTGAAAAGGTTCACCATTACTGCTCTAGCCAGACACTCCAGCCCTGAGTTATATCCCAGGGACCACAATTTTGATTTTTCCACAAAATTTTTGTGGGTATTGTGGATCTTCAGCTCCCTTCCTTTCTCCCTCCTCCCCTCTCTCCCTCCCTCTCTTCCTTCCTTTCTTTCTCTCCCCCTCTCTCTTTCTTTCTTTCTTTCACTATGCAGTTCAGGCTGGCCTGGAACTCATAGTGATCTTCCTGCCTCAGCCTCCGGAGTGCTGGGATTGTAGGTGTGCACCACCATGCTGAGATCTTTTGGGTTTTTTACGTCTCTGGGGATTCTGACTGGAATTGTGTTGAATTTCTTCTTCAGTTTGGGGCACATTGAAGTCCTGACAATACTGAACCTGTTCTCCGTAAACGTGGTGCTTTTCTTCATTTATTTTGGTTTTTAATTTTTCTCAGCAACATTTTATAGCTATGAGTACAGATGTCTTACACATCTTTCCCTAAATCCCTTAGATTCCTAAGTATATTCTATTTTCTTATGCTATAAGAAGTGCTATTTTTAGATTTGTGTTTCCAATTTTTGTGTTACTATGTCATGGACATAGAGTTATTTTTCTGTGTCAATACTGAATCCTTTAACCTGGCTAAACCACTTTTTTTTTTTTTTTTGGACACAGGGTCTCCCTGTATAGTTCAGGCTAGCCTTGAGTTCACTGTGTAGCTCAAGCTGGCCTCGAATTTGCAGTGATCTGCCTCAGCCTCCCAAGTGCTGGGATGACAGGTGTGCACCACCACACCCTGCCTACTTTTTAGCTTTAGTAAATTTAAAAAATAGTTCCTTTTATGCCAGGTGTGGTGGCTCATGCCTGTCATCCCAGCACTTGGGGAAGTTGAGGCAGGAGAATTGCTTTGAGTTCAAGGCCAGCATGGGCTACAAAGTAAGTGCAGGACCAGCCTAACTATATAGGAAGACCCTGTCTCAAAAAACTAAAAAAAGAAAAAGTTCCTTTTATAGAATTTTCTACATAGGAATCAGGTTATCTATAAATAAAGACCATTTTATGTCTTCCTGTATAATCTTTTCCCTCTTGTTTTTCTGTACTAGCTAGGATTCCCAATACATTACGGAATAAAAGTGACGAGACTGAACATCCTTGCTTTCTTCTGTTTTAGGAGGATAGCATTCAGTTTATTTCTTCACCTTATATCATTTCCTTAATGTCTTGTTTTGAAATTTTTTTGTATAACAATATATGGGATTTTAAACTTACAGAGGAGGCTAGTTTGTGGTGGTTTTTCTAATTTTGCTGCTTTCTAAAACTTTCTCTTGTGCCGGGCATGGTGGCACAAACCTGTCATCCCAGCACTCAAGAGGCTGAGGCAGAAGGAATGCTGTGAGTTTGTGCCCAGCCTGGGCTACATAAGGTACTTCAAGGCCAAACTGAACAGAGTGAGACCCTGTCAGAAAACAACAAAACAAAATAAAAGTTTCTCTTCTCGTGTGTGGTGGCGCATGCCTTAATCCCAACACTTGGGAGGCTGAGGCAAGAGGATGCCCCAGAATTCAAGGCCAGCCTGAACCACGTAGGGAGACCCTGTCTCAAAAAAAAAATTTTCTTATGTTATGCTTGGGAAGTATTAAAATCATGGCTTATTTTTCCTTTCTCTGCTCAGCATTTTCTCCTCAGAGTGGTACTTTAACCTAGAAGGGAGCGTTTGTTGGCTATTTAATTTTAAGGGTTGTTAGGGTTACAGATGCTTTACTTAAAACTAGTTTTAGCCTGGCTGTGGCGGTGTACGCCTGTAGTCCCAGCACTCTAGAAGGGCGGGGTAGAGAGATCGTAAGTTTGAGTCCAGCCTGGGCACTTAATGATTCCCTTATCCAAAATGAAAAGTAAAAAGGGCCAGGGTTGTAGCTCAGTGTGAAGGCCCTGAGTCAGTCCTCAGTGCAGAAACAAAACAAAGCACCTAGTAGTTTTGTAGCTGGTGGTTGATATACCTCCACCTGTTTTGAGAACGGGGAGGGATGAATTGTCCCCTTTTTTTGTTGCATTTGTTCATGGATTTCAAGGACCTAGTTGTTTGTGTGTTTTTATGTATTCAATACCTAGGTGTCCTCTAGCTCGGAGATGCCTAGAATCTCTTCTTTGTAATACTCATAAAGTTATCATTTCTTTCTTGGAAAATACTTAATTTGGACATGTCTCAGATCTGTGGCGTAAACAAATTGCCTGCACATTCTATTCCGAGGTGAGTTATCAGATTACTGATTGTTGATTCTCTTCATTTTAGTGAGATGATGGAAACAGAAGACAAGACAGGCAATACACTTGTTGGAAAGGCTCCAGATACAGTGAGTATATTCTGTGAAGTTAAGGTTGCCATTTAACAGGTATTCCTGGGCTGGGAATGTAGCGCAGCAGCACAGCGCCTGTCTGGCAAGTGCAAGGTCCTAAATTTGATTCCCAGTACCCAAAAAAAAAAACCACATATATTCCTGTGGTGTATTGTAAGTTCTTTTAAATAAGTGGTACGTACTGGCTTTTTTGGAAATTTATTAATTTTAATATCAGAGTCATTTTACACAAGTGGATTTTCACTAGAGGATATGGTTTTAAGGACTGATACTAAATAACACTTAGAAGAAATCAGATCCTGTGACCTGTACTGCAGAATGATCCCTGTCCAGAAAAACTTCCAGTTACCTCTCAGGAGGTGAAGGGGAAAGGCATGGCATTTCCTGGTGTGCTGGCACATCCTTGCACTCCAGTGGTCTGGGGGCGCTAAGGCAAGAGGGTCGCAGTTTGACCCCAGCCTGGCAAATTTAGCAACTTAGTAAAACCCTGTCTCAAAATATCGCAAGAAGGTTTGGGGATATGAAACCCCTGTATTTAATCCCAGTGTGGGGGATGGAGGGATGACATTTGACAAATGGTATCTTACCATGTAGTGATAATTAACTGTTTGTGTTGTCTTTCTCACTCTTTTTCCTTTCTGACTGTCTTTCTTGGAGTTTGGGATTAAACCCAGGACCTTACATGTGCTAGGCAAGTGCTCCATCACTGAGCACTATCCCCAGCCCTGTAATGTAATGGTCACGCCACATGGAAGCGGGGGTAAATTATAGAGCAGTGGCCTGTTGCTTGTCAACGTTTCCTCCATCAGGACTTTGGTTTCTGATGCTCGGGTTCATAGACCTTTGCTGTTCCTCTCCTAGATGGAGGATGGACAGTTGTCTTGGTGTCGTGGGCGTTCGTGAAACCATATGTGTGTGCTGATAAAAGGCACTTTCAGACTTCTCACTCTTATTTAGGGAGTTTCACAGTTTTTCTGTATAAACCAGTTTTCCTGAAAATCATCAGTAATTTTTACCAGTATTTTTTTTATTATTAGCTATTTTACAATGGGCTTCACTTTTGAATGAATTGTATTATTTCATCAAGCTGGTGTCCTGTCTCAGTGGCATCTAATGAAAAAATAAATGCATTTTCTTCTCAAATAATGATAGTGTCTTCTACATCGTACCATTAAAATACGAGTTTTGTTGTATGTATTTAGCCTGCTTTAGTTACAATGGTTTTAGGGCTGATGAAATAACTTAGCTTAGTAAATTTTAATAATATATGACTTTTTATTCTTATTGTTTTGGCAGAGCCCAGAACCCAAGGACCAGACTTTGAAAATGATTAAAATTTTAAGCGGTGAAATGGCTATTGAGTTACATCTGCAGTTTCTAATACGAAACAATAACACAGACCTCATGATTCTAAAAAACACAAAGGTAGAAAATTCATCCACAGTGGAGTTTTTTTAAAAAATTTCTTGTTGACCATTTTGTATATAATTTCTGATCAAGGATATTAGTTTTGGGGTGGAGCTAGGGCGTAGATCAGTAGGAGAGCTTGCATGCCAAAGCGAGGCCCTGGGATCAGTACCCCAGCCCCGCAAACAAAAGGCAGTGGGTTTCTTACTTGTTGGAAACAGGCGGGAATGAGCAGTGGTTGAGCTCCTGGTTTTGTGCTGTTGTTGGAAGCTTAGTGAACTTCTTTTTAACCTTTATCTTATGATACATGTGTAATAGTTGGACAGATAACACAATCAGGATAATGATACAGTGTATATATCAGAGATTGTTACAACCTTTGTTGAGATTCTTAAGTTACTTACTTTAATTATTGGACAGGTAAAATGTGTTTGTTCCAAAATGTTTTCATATAATAAGATTATTATCAGAAAAACATCTCTTTACTTACCCAATGTCTGTTCCCAAAGACCTGTTGTATTATTTAATTATTTGTGGTACTGGGTGTTGAACCTAGGGCCTTCACACTGAGCTATATTCCTGGTCCTTTTTATTTTTTATTTTGGGACTTGGTCTCCCCAAGTTGCTAAGTTGCCCAGGCTGGGCTTGAACTTGTAATCCTCCTGCCTCGGCCTCCCAGAGTGCTCAGATTACAGGTGTGTGCCATCCCACCCAGCTTGTTTCTTTTTCTTTTTTCTTTTTTTTTTTTGTCTTTTTTGACACAGGGTTTCACTATGCAGTTCAGGCTGGCCTTAAACTCACTTCGTAGCCCAGGCTGGCCTCGAACTCACAACGATCCTCCTGTCTCAGCCTCCCGAGTGCTGGGATTACAGGCGTGCGCCACCACGCCCGGCTTCACCCAGCTTGTTTATTCCTTTTTTATAGCTGTTTGCTATTCAGTGAGTAAATAGTTCTTTAAGTGAAGCACATGTAGTAGTGCCTTTTGAAGTGTTTATTTTT